GGTGCAAGTTTGTCTTAAAGTCCCAAGTAACCAATATAAAGTCCAGAGATAAGTAGGGGTGGGGAAGAGCTATGGGTCCCTGCCATTAATGCCTGCAGCCACAGGCCACTTTTCAAACTTCTAAGGTATAGGCTGCAGCATATGCTACATTTATTTTCCTAAGCAATTATATTAGAGCATTTATCCTCAGTATGTTAGATCAACATAACCCCTCTTAAAGTCTTATAACTTGTTAGCATGACATTTACATTATCTAAGTCTGAATAATGAATTTTAAGGTTTTGTTTGTTTGTTTGTTTTGTTTTTGTCTTTTGTTTTTGTTTTTTTGAACCCTACAATATGGTACTTATCCAGAAGCTTTTCCTATGTACTGGGAAAATCTTTTAGGATTGTTAATTGCATTACTCCAGTTTCTCACAGTATAGCATCTTTCTTTCTTTTTCTTTCTCTCGTTCTTTCTTTCTTTCTTCCTTTTCCTTTCTTTCTTTCTTTCTCTTTTCTTTCTTTCTTTCTTTTTTTTTTAGAGGTTTTTACTATAGAGTGCATGCACTCATTAGAAAGACAGAGAGACAGATAGACATACATGCACACACACCCAGCATGAATTTAAACCACTGGGTCTGGGACTCAAACTGTGGTCGACTTCATGGGAGTCCAGCAACATAGCCATTATGCCAACTGCTGGTCTGCTCACAGTCCAGCATTCTAAAATCAGTAGCCTGTGTTAGAAGTAGCTGAATCAGGGCTAGCCCCATAGCCTATTATTAATGAAGCCAGATTCAGTACAGACCACTACCATTTGAATCCTGTCCTGGAGGCTTGAAAACTGTGCCTGTGTGTTTGTGTTTGTGTGTATGTGTGTGTGTGTGTGTGTGTTTATGTCCTAAATCCTGACAGATGGAGAAATGGAAGAGAAGGGATAATGGCATGGCCATGCCTTGCTGAGTGATGTTTTCTCCTCTCTGTGGCCAGTGTATGTGTCCCCTGGTAATTTAAAAAAAAAAAAAAAAGTAACAGAATCATAAATCAGTAGTGTGCCTCAAAATATGTGTGTCTTTGATCTCTAACTTGAGTTTTATATTTAAAACCATCACTTATTTTCCTTGTCTGCAGCATCTGCATAAATGTTGCAAAACTCTCCTCATTACAAGAGATTTATGGCACATTTGTTTTAGCTTTAGATGGTTACTGCCTGTTTCTTTAAAGTTATCTTTTTTTATGCAAGGTCCATGTCTTCCTGTTTAATTAATTTATTAAATTAATATTTATTAAGTATCTACTTTGTTCCTTATGGAAATTCTGTTGAATAAAACAAATATAACTCTCACTCACATAGAGCTTATATTGTAGAATAGGAGAGCTAGATAATAACATGAAAATGTTAGATTTGTCATATAGAAAGTAAAACAAGGTCATTAATAGTAACTGGGTGACTACATTATATGTATGGTGAGGTAAGTCTAGGTTTTGGTGGAAACAGGAATTTGCTTTTCCTATGCTGTTTGAAATGTTCAGGTCATCGTAGTTACAAAAACTAGTAGATACATTCATAACTTGGATAGATCAAGTAAATACTTGGATATACAAGTTTGGAATTCTTGGCAAAGTGCAGTGCTTGGGATCAAAAATAAAAAGGAGAAAACACATATATGGTATTTAATGTATTGTATCTGGAAGAAAATATCAAAAAGAGCTATATGTAAAGAGAAGACTTCCTGTAGCCAAGATTTAAAAGTTCAACATTGAGATGCCTAATGGAGAAAAGATATCTGGAAATTAAAAGAAAATGTAGAAAGAGAAGTGGTAGGATGATTCTATTCTGACCTTATTAAATAAATTCTGAATACACATCTAACAAATCTTAAGTACTCTAAAAACAGAAAGACAAAAATGTACTATCATTTATTTATATATACTATACAAACTTGAAGGATTGAACATCTACTCAAAACTGGAGAATAAGAACCAACAGATGATGTAATGGTTATGTCACTGAACTCCCATGTAGTCAGTTGCGGGTTCAAGTCCCAGACTGCTGGCTTAAAACTCATGCCAGGTGCAAATGCGTGCATGCCCAAAATCCTGCGAGGAGAATGAAGGAGGATGGAATGCAGTATGACCATCCCCACTGGGAAGATGAAAACAAAACAAAACAAAACAAAAAACTGGAGAATAATCTTATTCTTGGACAATATGTTTCAGAGGGCCAGCAGGTGGTATAGTGGTTAAGGCGCTGGCTTTCTTAATGTCCAACCATGGATCAAGTCTCAGATCTAGTGCCTTGAAAATCATAGCAGGAATGCCTGTGTGTGTGTGTGTGTGTGTGTGTGTATGTGTGAGTGTGCGTGTGTAACCAGAATCCAAAGAGGAGAATGGAGGCAAAGGAATTGAGGTATGGTCATCCCCCCTTGGGGGTGATTTCTCACTTTCCCTCTCACTGTCTTTGGCTGTCTCTCTGGCGAGCACATATCCTATGGGGGGGGAAGAAGGCAGAAAAATATGATTCACATGATTACTTTTCATAAACTGGCTTTTGGTTAGTATTTTAGAAGACTTCTTTATCTAGAAAATTTTTCTTAATAAAATGCTTTTGCTTTTGACTTTCTTGTGACTCTAAATCTAGGGGTCAAGAAATTTCTCTCATTGTAACAGTTATGCATATTAAAAACCCTCATGCAAATTCAAATGCTCCAGATCTTTTTGCTTACACTAAAGAATTTCCAAAATGGTAAAGATTGATCTTTTTCTTGACCTTCTTTGAATGTCACTTGGTTTAGGTTGTGTTTACATAAACTCTATCAGTCATATAATAAACTTGCAGAGCATGTTACTCACACATCTGTTATGACAGGTTTTATGGTTAAAAATGGACAACTAAATTTTATTTTTGTATTTCTTAAAAATATGTGTTAGCAGAGAAAAGACATTTGGTGAAATTTAGTCCTGAATTATAACTTACAATTGATTTTTTAGATACTCTGCTTAAATATTTTAATATCATCCTTGTTTTTGGTTATGTTCTATTTTCAAATTCAGAAAATATGATTCACAGGGCAAACAAATGATATAGTGGTGGACTCCCACAAAGCCAACCATGGTTTGAATCTAGGATCTGGTGCCTTGAAAATTATTCCCAGCATGTGTGTGTGTGTGTGTGTGTGTGTATGTGTGTCCAAAATACCAAGAAGAGAATGAAGAAGACAAGAGATTGAGGGTTTTAAAAATTGAAGTTAATGCTTACTCATGGCTCAGTATATTACAGTCTTCATTTTCCACTTTCTCTCCCCTAAAATCTCTGAATAACCCATTGTTTAATGTAAATATACATTTCTCCATTCCCAATATCACATCTGTCAGATATGGTTTTACACTATGACTTTATCTGAAGTGATGCTATGAATTGACTTTTCTCCCTACCTCCACTTATCATCTAAGTCATATGTTAAAGCCCTAAGTCACAATGTGATTGCATGTGGAGATAGGACTATGAAGAAGGTATTTAAGGTTAATTGAGGTCATAGGGTGGAACATTCTTCTAGGATTGGTGTCCTTATAAGAAGAGGAGAATATACTAAAGTTTCTATCCATGAGCACACAGAAAAGAACACATCAAGGAGTTTCTTGTCCTCAAGACAGGAAGAGAGCTTTCACCAGAAACTATATATACCAGTACCTTGATCTTGTACTTACAGCTTCCAAAATTATGAGAAGATGAATTCCGGTTGTTTAAGATTCCCAGTTTATAACATTTTGTTATGGTGGACAGAGCAAACTAAGAAAGGAGAATACAGATTCTCAATTCACGATAGGGTTAAATCTGAATAAACTCATCATGAATTCAAAATATTATAAATGGAAAATACACTGAAGGGACTAGAAGATGGTCTAGTCTGTGTGACTGACCCACATGGGAAGTTTCCAGGCTCATCCTAGAGACCTCCCTAATATGCAAGGCATGTGTGTGCCCATATTCAAAGGTTAGCTGAAACTATAGGTGGATCATAGCGCCAAGACCCTGTTAGAGGTGTTTCTATCTCTCCCTCTCTCATTGTCTCTTTCCTGTGTTTTTCTTGCACATGGGTAAAATATAATAAACCTTAAAAATGCATTTAATATACTTAACCTACAGGATATCATAGTTTATCCTAGTCTACCTAAAACATGCTCAGACTGCTCTGGCCTACAGTTGGGAATAAAAAAAAAAAAACATAATTAAAACTCTGTTTTACAGTAAAGTGTTGAATATTTCATGGACTTTATTACATACTAAAAGTGAAAAACAGAATAACTGTATGAGTATCCAAAGTATGGTTTCTTCTGGATACATACACTTTAACACTATTGTAAATTCAAAAAAATCATAACTTGAAACATCACAAGTTGAAGATTTTCTGTACATGATAACCAGATGATTGGGGTCAGGGATGTTCAAGTTTGGGAGTTGTAGATGTAGTTATTTCAATATTTTTCTACCATATTCTCTCTCATATTTTAAATCAAACTTTAAAACTCTATAGAAAGAATAATTTTATAAAAAATCATTGTTATTTTATAATCTTTGAATTTTTTATACTATCCACTTGCACATTTATTCATTTGTGTTTTATACTTTTCAGATATCTATGTTGTGTTGTCATAAATTATGGTTAATTCTAAATGGCTCTTAGTGGTCTTAAAGAAGGATTCTTTCTTTAGAGAGAGAAAGACATAAAGTCATTAAAATATGTAAAACAATTAAATTTTGTCTCTGAAAATAAATCTAAATGGGAATTTCTAAATATATTTGGGCAATAATAACAGATTAGGGAAATAATAAAAATCAATATCTTAGAGATAAGTCAATATTGATAAGTTGAGAATACACAAGGGTCAAGAAAAGGATAGTCTAGTCTTAAGTGTTTTGACTAAAGACTACTGCTTCAGGATAGGAAGAAGACAAAGGGTTATTAACCTGCATACAAAGATTGACTAGGAACTTTTCCCACATTTTTCAGGGACCATCATTATTTTAGGGGAATCCAAGATATGTTACTATTTATCTTCAAGGAGTTCAATCTCACCAGCAAGCCACTGTTTAGGGGGCATCTTCAGATCTGAAATGCCAAGTGAGTAATTGTTATTTGGGAATCTATTTTTAGTTAAAATATTCAATCATTTGTTCACTTATTTACTATGTGTTCTTCTGACTCCTACAAGTTTGCAGATACTTTGTTGTATACTGGAGGTATAAACTTTAAATCATAACCAAGATAATGTTTCAAGCTTATTTCACTTATTTCATAAGAAAACGAGAGAGAGGCCTTCTTCACAGAGTCTTATCACACCACAGTCCTTCTCCAGCTTCCCAGTCAGTTTGAATACAGATGCACAGAGATACATCTGGAGTGTTCATGCCAACGGAGGATCTGAACCTCTGTTTTTCATGTGGCTCCAGTACCACATGATATTGCCCTATTGCTTGCACCATATTGCTGATGTCCTCTGTTATAGTCAAGCAGCTCAGAGATTATTGGAGACAGCAGCTATTTATAATATAGTATGATATAAGCAAGAAAAGTCAAAATGAAGATATAAAATAACAAGTAAGAAAAAAAGGTGAGAAGAGATTGATTGGGGGGTTAGAGTTAGATGGTTAAATTAAGATAAAGGAATTGGAATATAATTCTATTTGAAGAAACAGCTATCTAATGAGCACATTTTGCTGGATCATTAGTTACTATGTAAGGAGACTCATGTGAAACAGCCTAATACACAGGCAAGGACTAGATTAAAAGGTCATTGTATGTCAATATGAGAACGGTCATGGAAAGCCACTGAATAACTTTAAGAAGGAAACCTCTACGACAAGATTTGTGTTTTGAACAACTCTTTTAGCACTCTTGAAGGAAGGAACTAGATAGAACAGGCAGGGTGTTGAGTCAATAATCTATGGCAAAATTACAGTTGCAAATTCAGAAAGAAATTTTGCTAGCAATGGTAAATCAGAAATAAAGAACAGATTAAGAAATATTCAGATGGTCAGATTAACAGGATATTGACACCAACTGAAAGTAGGTTAAAGAGCCATTGACAGAAAGAAGTCAACACTCACATAGACACCTGAAGCTGACAACTAGGTATCAAGCAGTGCCTTTCACTAATACGGAGAGTGTACATAAAAACAGATTTGGGTGTGGGGTGTAAGATCAATTAAGATTTAGATTGTGTGTGTGTGTGTGTGTGTGTGCATGTGTGTTGAGGAGCTCAAGTTACAGACAACAGATATATCCAATTGATCTTGCGTAAGTTATCTGTGGACTCAAATAAAAATATCCACATTGAGAATCAGTCATAAAAGGGAACATTGCTGATTTCTATATGTATATGGCACCTGCGAGGCCCATGGTTCTATACAGAGGAACATTATGGGTAGAAACTAAAGAAGCACTCCAGTCCTAGGGCTAGACCAAGATAAAGCTACAGAAAAGTTTGAAAAAGATAAGGAGATACTGCTATTGGAGACAACAGAAATGACTTAAATTATGTTTGTAGATGTAACAGTTCTCAGTTTTGTAAACTAAAAAGAAACCAATGGTAGAGGCTAACAGATAATGTGGTTAAGGCGCTGGACATTTCCACATGGCCAGCCATTGTTCTAGTTCTGGAACTGGTGGCTTGCTTTCTCACTTTCTCTCTCTCTCTCTCTCTCTCTCTCTCTCTCTCTCTCTCTCTCTCTCTCTCTCTCTCTCTCTCTCTCTCTCTCTCTCTCTCTCTCTCTCTCTCTGTGTGTGTGTGTGTGTGTGATCAAATTAAAATAAATGAATAAATTAAATAGAATAAATGATTCTTTGAGAAAATGAAAGAAATAAATGGTAGCAATAATATTATTCATAAGACAACATAGTCTGATAAAAGAGTGAGGAGTGTGTTTTCTATTTACCACTTTAGATACACTCTCTATCCTTTTTTTCTGTGCACCTCTGAGCTTTCTGAGAGCAATCTGTTTCATTGCATTGTTTGGGCATCTGGTTGGACTTCTAAATGCAAAGTGCTGTTAGAAGATTGGTGGAAGGCAAGGGTGGGGGAATTAGGTTTCTGACTATCTTCACACCTGTCTGTGCTTAAATATTAGCAACATTTTTCTTCCTGCAACCGTACTGCTTTAAGGGCATCCTCTCCTAAATTTAAAACTCTCCTCAGGCTTTATTTGCCACCTTTCTTTTCCATGCCTAGAAATAATAAAAGACCCTCATTGTTGTTGTTAATTACTGGGTGCATAATCTTCCCTTGCTAGTTCCCTTAATCCTACCCACATCTCTGTCTTTTATCTCTTTATTAAACTCTTCCATCTTCACTCTGAGTAAACCATCTGTTTCCTTGTGGGACCTGGACTGATAAAGTAACACTAATTACCTGTTATGAGTAGGTCAAGGAAAAGATCCCTTAAAACAGAATTGTGGGATTTGGTAGGTCAGATATTTGATTAATTTCTCCAGCCTTAGATGGAGAGAAAAAAAAAAAAAGAGAAAAGAAAATGGAACTATAGTAACCTATGGCAGGCATGATTATGTAAATGACTGACAACAACAGTATGGGGTAGAGCAGAGATGAAGGGTAAAACTTTGGTAAAATAAGTCCTTGTAGTACTTAGATGTGTAGCATTGATACTGAGTACAAAGATTGTTGGAAACTTCTGCCGCTCTAGAGAACACGTATAGCACACTGCATACTAAATACCTTAAACTAACAAATTCAACAAATCCAATTCAAAATTAGAAAACTTAGGAAGCCTATTTGATGATTTTAGAGTAATCCTTACCCGAGAACATGACTGCCATTTTTTGAGAGTTGAACATGAAATAAATGCACACCTTTGTCAGGGTCTTGCATTTAAAAAAGGGCAGCGACAGAAAAGAATTGGAACATATTTCTGTAAAATGAAACTTATGAATAGACACAAATAAATTTGATAATGTCGAAATTTCTAATACCTCAATAATTTTCTTGAGATTAGACATAGCATTTCTTCATCCGCACTCTCACAAGCTTATTGTGGGATCTTCTCAGACATACAATGGTGTAGACTTTAACATGGGTCATTATCTCACAAGGGTGTGCTTATTCTCTTTAGGATGATTGACTGGCTTTCTTTGCTTCCAGACTCATATGGGGAACCAAATTCTTGTATAATTCTGTATGATAATTTTTCTGGGGGAAGCTATGTTATACACCAGGGATTTGCAGAATTTTCCAGCTTTTAGTGGCAGAAATCTGAGAAACATGCATGTGAGTAGATTCTAAGGGTGAAAGATAAAGGAGGATAGAGTATAAGAGGATTTGCAACATGAGTGTATTCCTCTAGCACTCAGAATTTATTAAGTAGGATTAATCACGTGGTTTTAAGAAGTCTTTGGAAATCATCAAAAGAAAGATGATAATTGACTAGATATTAGCAAAGTGGTGAAATACAATGCTCTGCAAGGCTAATTCACATGGGTTTACATCTGGAAACCTTCCTGAGTATGCCTGGGACTGGCTGAGCATTGGAAAATCATATGAAGACTATTGATGGTGCTGTCAATCTATCTTGTCTCTTTTGCTCATGGAGAAAATAAGTAAATAAATAAACTTGAAGAAAAGAAAGATAATAAGGTAAAAAAAACTACACAAGCTTATAATTATTTTTAAATAGTGATGTGAACATAGAGCAAAGTTAAATCCCTCTAATATTATGTATGGAACATATACATAGTTCATTATCAAAATAAACCCCAAATAATCATCAAGCTCTTTAAATTTTATTCTAATATTTTAATATACATTGACATCAAGCAGCTGCCTAAATAGAATGTTTTAGTTGAATTAATGTCATGGTTAATGATAAGGGGGGAAAAGTGATCTGCTTTTTAAATATCATGATTCCTCAAGCACAAATACATCAAATTTCTTCTTCAAGGATAAATATAATTTACAGGAAGCACTGCCAATAGCAGGATGACTCTGTTCTCTAGGCTTGGAATGATATTTAATTCTTTTAAATTAATCAAAGAGCTGGAAAATTCAGTAAACACAAATTTATGACCTAGGCAGAACAGAAGTTCCTTATTTTGCTTCTTCACTAGCCACTAAGTTTAAAGTGCAAAACAAAGACAAACATAACATTCAAAATATTCTAGTGCGATCATAGTGTTTTTGACCTTTGTTTATGGGATGAATAGTTTTTATTTATTTTTCATTTACATGAACTTTCTACATTTTGTGAAGTTTATTACATATTTCTTGTTCAAAGGGAAAGAAGGTTATTGATTATTTATTTTATTATCTCTTTTGAAGGAGATATAATGAGCATTGATGGTAGCCAATAACAACTCTGGCTCATTCAAGGTGAGTTCAATGTATACATATTTCTTCATGCATGATTAGTAATATTAACAAACCCCACTGGCAAAAATTCTGAACCAGGTTTTCTTAATTGGTGCTTGGTAAATGAAACCCTTTATTTATTACAATAACAGGTAATATCTTTCTGGGTAAGTTGAATATTCATCTTGTGGCAACTTCTGTAAACACAATAAATAAGAGTAAAATGAATTTCTAATTTTTGCCACAAATAATAAATTACACAAAAATAAATTGCACTTCTTTAAATTATTCTGACTGAAATTTATCTGAATCAATGCACAAGTTTTATTAATTGAAACAAGCAAACAAACAAGAAGCTGTGCAGCCTGATAAAATTATCCCCTGAAATGTAGAATTTATTCTGTACTACAAAATAAGTAATATAGGAAGTTGTTAAAGGTGTAAATAGAATTAACATATATTATTATAACTTGAATGAAGCATATTTATGTATATCAGAAATACTTTAGATTATGTTACTATTTTTGTAAAAAATATTAAATGATTTTCATATGGTATTTATTACTATAAATTCCAACCACTTTGATGAATTTCTAATTTTATTAACATATTCTAAATAATTAGTTAACTGGAGATTATTTATGTCACAAAATTTTTCTTTTGAGCTTGGTAAAATTATTCCATTTTCAGAAAATTTTGTTGCTGCCTAGAACCTTGCCAGGTTTAGTTTTTCCTATACATCCTGCCTATAATCTTATAGAATTATTTCTCCAACCTTGTATTTCAGTCATGCTCCCAGAATAAATCTGGTTGTTGATTATTATTAATTAATTTTCTTTAGAAAAAATAACTTTTTTGCCTTTTATGCAATTTTGGAAAAAATGAGGCCTTTTGTTGAAATCTATAATCCACTTTAAACAAAGTTTTCTTCATTCATGATAGTGTGTATACCGTGAGAGACGGACAGAGAACTGAATTACCATCCAATGTGGCCTCATCATGCTCCTGTCTTTCTACCTGTGTTTCTCTGTCATGTAAGGAGCCGGGTGCACACACTGTCATGCTACCACTGGGACCAGGATTCAAGCTCCAGTTGGCTATGTGCGAATCAGCTTGCTCTGTATAGGACTTAATCGCTGTGCTAGGGCCAACCCTGTACTTCACTCTTGAAATACTAATTTATGACAACTCTGTGGTGATGAATTCATCAATCTAAAAAAGTAAGTGAGAGGGATTTACAAACACGAAGGAGAGACAAGAAGTTTCAAATATACTGATAAACTTTGATGTTTTGATGGACAATGAGACTCTTTTTTTTTATTTAAACATACATTGTGTATATATTCTTATCTGTGAAATAGTCAAAATAAATAATTCAAAAGTATAAGAAAAGATAAAAAGACCTATACATGTATACTGTTCAGTATATTTCACATAAAAATTTAAACCTCAAATTATTCTCTGTAAGTATTTAAAAGTTAAAATAACCTGGCTTCTAATACCAGCTCTGACCTTTATTGTGTGACTAAGACAAATCACTTTTATTTCAGAGTTTCATGTTTCCTATATATAATTAAAAGATTAGAGTCTATGATGTTAAAAATCTCTTATAGCAGTTCCAGCCTTGATTCCAAATGTAAGCTGCTGACAGCCAGTGTTGCCATATCATAACCAGCAGGAAGCATTTCTAACTGATTGTAGGAGTCAGGAAGTAGCCTTTATTCTTTAATAACAATTAGAGCAATAGTAGGATTTATAGGCAAAAATCGCAAAGCCTCTTGATTTCTTGCAAAAAAACATTTAAGTGCAACATGTAATTGAATTAAGAGAAAGTAAGAGGTGGCAAGAAACATTCTAAAGAATCCTTGAGGGCCCAGGAGATGGTGTAATGTTTATGTCCCTGGACTCCCATGTAATCAACTGCAATTTGAGTCCTGGAACCAGCAACTTAAAACTCATGCCAGGAGAGCAGCAGATGACATAATGGTTACATCGCTGGATTCCCACTTAGTCAACCATGGTTTGAATCCCGGACTCAGAGGCTTAAAACTCACGCCAGGTGCATGTGCATGTGTGCCCAAAATCCTGATAGGAGACTGGAGGAGAAGCAATTACAGCATGGCCATTTACCCTGGGAGGGTGATTTCTTGCTTTCTGTCTCAGTCTCTCTGCTGAGTGCTTGCACCCTTTGGCAAAAACCTCTCTAAAAACCAAACCAAACCAAACCAAAACAAAACAAAACAAAAACAATAGCTCAAGCCAGGAGTACATTTGCCCAACGTCCTATGAGAAGAATGGAGTCAGAAGAGGTTGTGGCATGGCATTCCCCCTGGTGGTGGTATGTGAGGGGTGTAATTTCTTGCCCTCTGTCTCTCTGTCTCTCTGTCTCTTCAGTGAGCACATGCACCTAATAGCAAAAATCCTTTAAAAAGAAAGAATCCTTGAATACAGAAATAATGCTTGATATCATAAGATTGTATTCAAATGCATAAGCAAATAAATTCTTCATTTTAAAATGATCATTTATTCAAAAATGTTAAGCTTTTTCTCATATATATTTCTACCTGAATAATACAAAAATATTTGATAATTTTTTTTTTTCTTTTTGCCAGAGGATCGAGCATGTACTCTGAGAAGAGAGACAGAATGAAGGAATGCAAGAAAGCACTCACCAAGGGGCATGGTCATGATTCAGTCCCTTCTCCTCTGTTTCTCCCTCTTTTGAGGATTTTGGGCACAAATACATATGAACTCACCATGTTTTTCAGGCCTTGAGTCTGGGACTTGAACCACATAGTTGGCTCTGTGGGATACAGCCACCTTGACCACAGGTCATGGACTGGTCCAATATACATATTTCTTAATTGCCAGAGGGTACTTGCAGAGAGAAAGAGACTCACAGAGGGAGAGGGAGAAGGAAAAAGCATTGCATTCTCAATTGGCCATGGTCACACTGCAATCTTTTCTCTATTTCTCTATCCTACTGCAATTTAGACATATGTGTACACATGCCTGGTTTGTTTGTCATGCTTCTGGGACTTGAATCCTAGGCATCCTTCTGGGATCTACGCAATTTAGACATATGTGCACACATGCCTGGTTTGTTGGTCATGCTTCTGTGACTTGAATCCTAGGCATCCTTCTGGGATCTACTTCCCTTAATCTCTAAGCTATAGGAATGGTTACATAATATTCTTTACTTGGTTTAAAGAAAATAAAAGGAAATAGGGTAGTATTTGGGGAGCTATCTTTTAGGAAGAAATCTAAATAGAATTAAAATTATAGAATTATGAACAACTAATTTGCATATTAATGCCAGTTAATGCTCCATTTGTCATAAAACAGTATACCAAGTAAAATAAGACAATCACAAGAACAATAAAATAAAATCTTTAGGAGAGAAATATTATGTTTAGATAACAACGATATCAAAATAATTTACTTAGAAAGTCATTTAAGAAATACAATAAAGATTTGAAAAAAATGTTGTAAGTAATTAATAGAAGAGAAAAAATAGAGATGATATAACCAGAGAGAAGTTTGTTATTTGTAATAACAGGCATTAGATATCTCACATAAATTAGTTGATAAATCTAAATTAAATACCATGAGGAATAAAAGGAGAAATCTGTATCTTTATATATAGAAATAAATAGGAAAATATGATAAAAGATCAGTATCATCCTTAGAAAATTGTATGGTGTCTTTTCATGGTACGTTTGAAGCTATAATACAAGACACTTCAAAGCTATTGGGTTCCTGATATCAGTGGAAACAACATGATCCCAGAAAGGGTGAGTGGGAGTAGTGGTGACAATACTCTAGGACAAGTGATTGATATAATAAACCATAATGATATTGGTGATCAGGTTGTTTTTTTTCTTCTCTTTTCCAGAGGTCTGTGAGGATGACTAACTCACCTCACAGTCCTAAAGAATGAAAAAGATGGGCAGTCTATCAGGGAACTACATAAGTCATGTAAATGGAGAATGAAGAATAGTCTAGTTGACATAAAACTGATTTGAACTGCTGTAAGAGAAATTCAAAGTGTTAAACCCAATTCCCAGATGCACACCAGTTACCAGATACAGAGCCCCTTTTTGGAAAGATCTTGTGTTGGTTGAGAAGTGAATATTTTGAAATATATTAAAAATAATAGCTATCTTTTTAGTGGGATACAAGGCATTATTGTCTGAATCTATAGGGATCTCCTAAAATTCCAGGGATCTAACTTTCATTGTCCTTATTTTGTAAAATTGTATTGAAAGAAGTTTATTATATAGGCATGATGGTGTTGCAAAAAATTCTGCTAAAAATGCAAAGGAAAGTTCTCCAGTGAAAGTGAATTAATGTCCATTTCTTCCATAGTTTTGCATTAGGTACAAATCTATTTCAGCATTTCTGCACTTATTTATGTGTATATTCTTTGAATTCTCCATTGAAGTGGTATTTGTATCTTCCAGGTACCCTTTTAGTGGGAAAAATAAAACTTTGAACATGAGTTCAATTTTTATTCTTATAAGAATTATGGTATTTTTTGGAAAATATTTCAACAATTTTGAAGTTTATTCACTGAGATAGCCAAAAATTCACCTGACAGAGAGAAGATAAACTGCGATACATTGTAAGGCAAGTGTTACTCTACATAACTTAAATTAGGTTCATTTTTTATTAGTTCCTAGAGACAATACCAAGCAACAATATACTTTAACTTTTGTAACTCTGTGCTTCTTTAAAAATGGTTACCTCTTTACTGATTTATTGTGTTTTTTCATCAATTTTTTTTTCTTTTTTTTTTTTTGAGGAGGGAGCTCATATATGGATTGTGTTTCCTCTTGGTGGTAGCAGTGATTGGGAATTTTGCTTCATGGTCTGAATATTTGATGATCTCAATAGATAAGTGATAGTCATCTATTATCTTTTGGATTAGAGACAGTAGAGAGCTAGTTAGTATTTTTGCATTTGTTTCTCTATTTTTTTTTTGAGAGGTTTTTGCTATAGAGCGCGCTCGCCAGACAGACAGAGTTTTAAACTAAAATTGATTGAGAACTTTATGTCTATTGAGAAAGTGAAAAACCTCGCCAGACAGACAGAGTTTTAAATTAAAATTGATTAAGAACTTTATGTCTATTGAGAAAGTGAAAAACAGCTTTGAAATCTGAAGTTGATGCCTGTGTTTCTGTTTTCACTCTTGATCTGTTGCTGAAGTTGGAGAATTGAAGTTATAAGCTATAGTTCATAAATCAGTATGTCTGTGATTCAGAGGTCTTTGCCTCTGGTCTAAGAATAAATATCTTCTTACCTCCAGAGACTATTAGTAAATTTGATAATAGTGTCTCTTAAATTAAAGGAGATTTACTTTGGTTTATTAAAGTAAGCCCTTAATTAAATGATACATAATTCTCAGGAAACAAGAAAATTAAATTTATTATACGTTAAATGTACTTAAGTTTAAAAAAGAAATCCTTCTTTTAGTAAGTGTGAACTCAGAAATATTTAAAAAATCTAAGTTTTCATAACTAAGGTCAAGTTTTGGCAAATGAAACTAATGAGTGCCGAAGCACTTTGATACCCTGCTAAAACTTATATTGCAGGTAGTTCTCAATTACCCATAAGTCTTAGTCCATTTTGGGGTTGCTAACAGAAAAAATCTGAGACTGGTTGTATTTTCTCTGCCATTCTGGTCTCATTCTTTCTGATTATAAAAGAACTCAATCATGGTAAACTCACCTTAATGACTTTATCATGCCCAACTCTTGACACTATAATCAGATGATGTTTTCATTCATCTTTATCCTCTAACAATGGCTGAACACATAAATTTTTGGGACTTATTCAAACTCTAGCCCTGTCCCAGCTATATAGGTAAATGTTAAAATTGATATAAGTAAATTAGACTATACTTGCAGCTCTTGTGACACAAAATTTATGTGTGTGTGTGGTATGTGGGATTATGATTCAAGAATAATCTTATCCTAATAAAGCTTATCTCAAACTGTTTCATTGCAAGACCCTATACCTAAAAATCACCAAGGATAAAATGCCTTTGTTACTCTACGATAAAAGAAATTAAAATTTAAAATGTTTAAAGTATTTATTAGGTAAATTTATCCTATTTTCATAAATTGAAAGAACTAATATTCTTAAAATATTCTTACTACTCAAAGTGATCTATGATTTCAAAACCTTTACTAAAATAATTCCAATGTCACTTTTCATGGAAACAGAAAAAAGAACAAAAACCTAAGCTTCAGATGGAGCTACAGAAGAACCCAAGTAACAAAAACAACCTTGAACAAAAGGAACAAAACTGAAGAATTGATAAAGAAAATGTAGAACACACACACACACACACACACACACACACACTGGATAAATTCCTGTCATTTGAGGCAAAATAAATAAAATTAGAGGAAATCATACTAAATAAAATAAGCCACACTCACAAAGACAGATACCACATGTTCTTACTCATTAGCAGAAGCTAAAAAATTCCACTGCATGGACATAAAGAGTGTAATGGTGGGTACTAGAAGCTGGAAAGGGGAAAGAGATGGAAGGGATGAAGTAAATTGCTCATGGATTAAAAAAAATACATATGAATAACTGTAACTAATTATAGAATACTATACCATGGTAAAAAATGTTGGTGATACTTCAATATATACTTAAAAAGTAACCAGAAGAACAAATTAAAAATGAACATAAGACAAAGTAATGATTAATATTGGAAATGGTGTATATGTTTAGTGCTTTGATTGACCATTACACATTTCATACATGTTTTGAAAAACCATACTGTACTCCACAAAGATGTACAACTTTTACATGTAAGTTAGAAATTACAATAAAAATTATTAAAGAGAAAATAATTTAAAAAATCAAAATACACTACAAACCATAGTAACCAAAGCAACAGCACTGCACTGGCATAAAAAGAGATACATTGATCATTGAACTAGTATAGAGCATTAAACGATAAACCCACATATTTATATTCAACTGATTTTTGACAAAGATGCTAAGAATGGGTAAAGGACATTTATCTACAAAAATGAAGATGGGAAAACTGGATATTCACATGCAAAAATGTAAAATTGATTCCTTATCTGGCACCATATACAAAAATCAATTCAAAGTAGATTAAATTGATTAAGGACTTCAAGATAAGGTGTAAAACTGGGACCAGCAAGGGGTATGATGGCAAGGGCACTTGACTCCCACATGGCCGACCGTGGTTCAAGCCGACCGTGGTTTGAGTACTGGACCTGGCGGCTTGCTTTCTCACTTTTCCTTTTCCTCTCTCTACTCTGTCCCGCTATGGTCATGCTAAAATAGGTAAATAAGTAAATAAATAAAATTAAATAAAACAATTCTTTAAAAATAAATAAATATTTTTTTTAAAAAAAGGTAAGACCTAAAACTGTAAAACTACTCAAAGAAAGCAATGGTTTTTTGAATGTGACCACTGAAGAATAGGCATCAAAAGTAAAATTAATGAGACTTTATCAAACTAAAAACGTATTGAAAACTATTAACAGAGAGATGGAACAACCTACTGATTGGGAGAAAATATTTTCAAATTACACATCTGACAAGGGTGAATATTAAAAATATATAAGGGATATCAATA